TCAAAAGCCCTTCTATTCAGAAATGCAAGTGAGCGGCCACCGTGTGCCAGGAAGTGCGTAAAGTCCTGGGGATACCCAAGCAAATAAAAAGTGTTATTCTGACCTCAAAGAGCTTGCAGGCTGGTGGCAAGACGTATAGACATATAAGCATAACACGATTAGATAAGCGCTGTCCTGGGGGTGCGGACTCACTTCAGTGGGAGCATGGGAGACAGGGCCCGGAGACAGAACTCTTGGGACAGTCAGAAGGTCCTCATTTTCCAGGTTTCTCCACCACAGCACACTGCTCGTTCATCTGCGCGGTGTGTCTCCCTACCTGACGGTGGTGTTTGCGCCCCCACGATGTCTGCAGAGCTGGAGCTACGGCACTCCCACGCAGCACAACCTTGCTGTGCAGGAATGCCTCAGGACCTACGCCTGCGAAGATGGAAGTGTGGGTGTTCCTCCTCCAAGTGAGGTCCGCTTCTTGAGTAAGCCACCAAAGATAAGGTAGATCTCTCTGACACTCTTTCACCTTTTCCCAGAATCGGGGCTTACATCAATGCTTGTAAGAACAGTCACAAAAGCTACTCTCTTTTCATCCAGTTTCTAAGGCTGTTCACTCAATCTACTTTCGATTTATGGCACGGCATTGTGTACTTCACTACGCAAAACATGCTGCGGATATTTACGTCAAGATAACTTAACAAATATAATGCTTTATATTTTTACCTTCATCCAATTATTGTCATCTTTGTTCAGAATACTTAGTCAGAATGAAATTATTAATAGGATTAAAATGAAAGAAGATATCAGAAGAAAAGAAGATTGTGTCGTATGACTCGTTACCACCCAGAATCAGCAGTTTTCCATCCTGGCCACACATCAGAATCAGAATTTATAAAAATACTGATGCTCAGGCCACATCTCAGACCAAATAAATCAGAACTTCTGGAGTGGAGTCTGGACATCATCAGTTAATAAAAGCTTCTTAGGTGAATTTAACAACCAGCCATAATTGAGAAACACTGTTCTTCTTATGCTATTAAGCTAGATTTTTTTTTATTCATTTATTTCCTTGGTTAGTCTAACTTTGCTATCTGAGCTGTTGAGGTATATCCAGTATCCTTACTAGAAACCTTATTTCAGTTCATTCATTCAGCAAATATTTGCTGAGTGCCTGCTACATCCCAGGTGCTGGGCTAGCTACAGAGGGAGGCAGCAAGAACAAAACCAGAGCCACAGTCCCTTCCTTAGGGAGGTTACGAAACAAGCAAACATTGAACAACTAAACAAAGACTATTTAAAAAGCAAATCAAAATATTAAAAATTATAATAAGTGCCACAAAGTAAAAGCCTACCTGAGCACATCAGACATAAACGGAGACTTGAGGGATAAATAGGAGTTCAACAGACAAGACCTGGGAAAAGGGTGTTCCAGGCAGAGGGTGTTCAGGCAGAGGGAACAGCATGTGTGAATGTGCTGAGACAGAAAGAATCGGGCTTGCTCTGGGAACTGGAAAAAGGCACCTGTGGCTGGAGCAACGGGGCAGTCACAAAATAAATACTATCATCCTAATATCATAAGGGAAAGAATATTTTTATCTTACACCAAGAGGGATCTATAATTAAAATAAAGGACAAACATTTATATGAAAGAAGGTTAGTAATATTCTAAGGTATATGAAATAAAAGTCATATTTTACGGCAAAACAAGAAAAATTTAAGCATAAATTCTTCTCTGCCCTTTGGCCTCCTCTCCCTGCACTGTGCATTATGTATCTGCCTTATGTAGCCACAAACCTCCATCAGTAGGAATACCTGCTCAACCATAAAGAGCAGCATTAAAAAAGAGAGAGAGAGAGGAGAGAGGGGCCAGGCTGAGAGGTGGGGGCCACATCATTAGGGCCTTAAGGCTGTGTTTATTTTATATATATATATATATATATATATATAAATAACATACACACATATATATACATATACATATATACACACACACACACACACATATATATATATATATATATATATATGTATTCTATTCTAATATGCACTGTATACAGTAGGACACCATTCAGGTAGTGGGAGGAGGAGAGGGTGACTGAGGAGATCCAGTTCATCCCAGTTAACAGGGGGATGATGGCTCCTGTTTCACCCCTCTCCCAGGAGACATTTTGAAAGTAGAAAGCTCACAAACTAGTGAGTCTCTAGTTGGTGGAATAACAAAGTGTTTATGAAAATAAAGCACAAATTTGTGAATCATATACATACACACACACACACACACACACACAAAGCACTGTCACCTAACTAAGGCTCATTCATAGCAGTGGTAACTCAGGTCGGAATACTTACTGGTATGTCATTATTCAGCTCTACTGTCTCTTTTAATAATTGATCTTAAATACAGTGTTTGCCACCCTGAAAAATTGATGAATAGTGTTTGTAAGCATTCCCCTTTTATTGCCAAACCTAATTGCCGGTTTTTGTTACTATAGAATCTGAGTTTCTTCTGAAGAGAAGGAAACGCTTCATCCATTTGCCCAGGAAAGGCAGTATAATTTTAAGCAAAAGCTGTTCACTTGATTTTCATTGATGAACATCAACCAGTTGATAAATCTTCAAAGAGACACTTATATTTACATATAAGTACAATGGATTTCTGATGCGCTAATGGGATTGGTCCCACAAAGAATCCTAGCAAGATAAATATACTCTGGGAGAAAATGACTTTTTGCTAAATGACAGATTAATGGCTTTAATGACTTCTTTCAAGCCTGGCATAAACACAATGCCCAAGAAGAAATCATCAGGTCTGTGTTTAAATTATCATTTTATGACTTAGATAAATCTCTTATATGTTCATTTTTTAGAAAAGTGTTTCATGAAACTTATATAATGTTATAAACCAATGTTCCTTCAGTTAAAAAAAGTAAAATTTAATTAAAAATTTTTAAAATTGTTATACTTTGTACTAATTTCTCAGGATTATCATAACAAATCCCACAAACTTGGCAGCTTAAAGCAATAGGAATGTATTCTCTCATCATGTCAGCAAACTTCAGGGGAAAATCCTTCCTTGAGTCTTCCAGTGTCCAGTGGCTCCTGGCTTTCCTTGTCTTGTGGCAGCAAAACTCCAGTCTCTGCCTCTCTCTTTACCCAGCCCTCTTCCCTGTGTCTCTGTGTCTCAAGTCTCTCTCTCTCTCCTTTCTCTTCTAAGGATATCATGGGATTTAGGGCCTAACCTAATCCAAAATCATCTCATCTCAAGACCCCTAACTTAATTATATCTACAAAAAATCCTATCTTCAAATACAGTTACATTCACAGGAACTGGGGGTAGGCCTTTGATATATCTTTTGAAGGGACACAGTTCAATTTCACATTTCAACAACTTACATTCCATTGGCCAGAATTTTATGATATGGCCAACCTAGCTGCAAGAGAAGCTGGGAATTAGTTTTTCATTTTGGGCAGCCATTTGCCCAGCTAAAATCAAGAATTCTATCACTAAAAAGGTGGAAAATAATATTGAAGGACACCTAAACATCTCTGCCCCAAAAGCAAAATAATCTCCCAGAATTATTTTCAAGAACTGAATATGCTGAATTGCCATGTTCTGTGAAGAATCAATGCCTGCATAGAACTTGAGTTTAATCTCTGAAATAACCACACCTTCATTATATTTTCTTTCTTTAGTACTACCTATGTGTTTATTTGGTCTCCATAGATAACTGTGATGTCTGTACCAAATGCACAGTTAAAAAGTTATTACATTTGTTGATCATTACAAAGTCTTATCAACACCCTTGATTGCTAACCTATTGTCAAGGTAATATCCCACTATATCTTATCATTGGGGTTACTATAAAAATGACATGAATGAAAGGTGCCACAAAAGCAAAGGAGAATGATCAGAGTAACAGGGGATTTCATCCCGAAGAAGGAAACAAGTAGACTTGGAAAAAAACAGAGAAGCAGCAGCAGCTCCCATTTCAGCAGGAAATGAGCAGTCCATTTCACCCCCAAATGTGGCAAAAGAACAACAGTTCAACAATAACAGAAACTTAAGGCCAGTGTAGGTAGTGATCAGCTGAACCAACGGAAGAGAGAAATGCTTCAGGAGTTGCTATAGTGATAATTTGCCGAGTCAATTACAGACATGAACCAGAGGAGATATCCTAATGTGAGGTAGCAGAGGAAACTCAGCTCTAGGAAATAGAGCTTATAAGAATGAGACCAGGAAATAAGCCCCAGAAGCCAGCTACAGTAGTGGATTGCCCCAACTCCCTACTAGAGACCAGAAAGCTAAGGGGAAAAAAAAATTCAGAAATGGAAAAAGATCTCAGCAAAAGGGCAGTAGACTGTCAGATGGCTTTACCAAGGATAGATTCAGAAAACCCTTGTCAGATACTGCCAACCACAACCACAGAATACGGTATCCTCTGGAACATTGCCCTAAGGAGTAAGCAAGCAGAAGATATTTGCCAAACAGTAAATGGGGGAAACGTGTCTTAATACATTGATAGGTGAAGTTCCAGCACAACCTGCTGGTGACATTCATTTACCAACAGTGAGAACAAGTCCCAGCGAGGTAAGAACTGACCACTACTTTCTAAAATATATGTATCTCTGTGATTTAAGTACCATGTTAATTTCTTTATTAACCCACATCTGAGGGCTCTGGTGTAAATCCTAAAAGCAAGATTGCTTCTGTGACAAAACCCAAAGCTAACTCATTTTAGGCCTTCAATTTTTCTGTGTCTAGGCATAACATCTTCTACCCTTTACAATGGAACCATTCTCTATAACACTCTTGAGTATAATTAGACAGATAATCCTCTTATTCTGAACCACTATTAAAATGAGCAAATCCAAGTCTCCCATTAATAAACCAATGAATGGAAGTCTTCTGAATTCAGGCGCTGGTGGAAGAACTCATGTGTTTCCAAAATGGTAAAGAATGAAATACTTTCTTTGCAATGTCATAATTTGAAAGGCAGAGTCACAGTCTCTAAGATACTAAAAAAGAAAAAGTAACTTAAGTTTTATTCCAAACATTACCAAAAGTGGTAGAAACAGTTATGTAATAAAAGACAGAGAACTGTCATCTGTTACTGGATCAGACATCTATCATTTGACCAGCTATAAGTCAGATGACTTTTTTTACTGTCCAGAGTGTCCTTTTTTTCCCCCACATCTGTTATAATCCCCTACAAACACCACAGAGTTCATATAAAACTCATTTTAGGAAACAGATGTGAGGGCACTTTACAGTATAAAGTAATATATAGATGCAAGATGTTCACACTCCTGCAAGCATCAACACTTTCTTCTGAAGGAGTATTTTGCTCACTTTGACTCACCACAGGACCAGCGTAATTGCCTGAGTGCTGAGAGGATTTTGTTTTATGTTCATTGTTATATAGTTCGTGTTCCCATTTCATCTTTTAGGTCTTTATCTTGATTCTTCGATTTGTTTGCTGAATTTTCATTTTGCTTGCTCAGGAATAAAAATCTTCTGTTTATGATCCCTCTGCTGCACATCTTTTCTCATTCCACAGCATGGAGTTGTTGGTGAATCCTTAAAGGCTTCTTTGAGGGGAGCACATGGGTTGGAAGAAGTGACTTCCGGTGTTCTTTCATTGCTGATTGACTTAGGAAGTTTTGGAAGATAAGAGCACAAGTCAGTTCTGAACTGGAGGTACAAGAGGGCAGGAATCCTCAACCTCACACTCTGCCTTCAAACACTGGGAAGCATTTGGAGCACCTACTGAAACACAGATTTTTTTTCTTCAAGCAAGGTTTTGAGGGGTGGGTATAGCTCAGTGGTAGAGTTCATGCTTAGCATGCATGAGGTCCTAGGTTCAATCTCCAGTACCTCCATTTAAAAAAAAATTCTATCCACTGTAGCTTAAGTTTCCCTGATGATAATAACCTTATTGGTATTTTCAAGAGACTTCAACCAATAGGAAGTACTGAACCAATAAGAAGTAAGACCAAAGAGTCAGCTAATGAACAAAAATACCCACTTTATTACTGATACAGACTAGGTTAGAGGACTTTGCTTACTGTGAGAACCAAAGTTGACTTGTTCACTTCTGATCCCCAGCCTAGTCCTCAGAACAGCTCATCTGAGGACAAGTTTGAGACCACACGGCAGACACATTTACCCAGGTCACTCTCCATTTCTCCAAGTGGAGAATGAAAGAGAAAGACACCAAATCCCTTCATGCTCAGGACTTTTAGTAGAGTAGCTCCTCACAATCAAGGAAATTGGAATAATGGCTGTCACTAGGCAAACACATCTCCCAGGGGAGTAAGGGATTGGGCCAAAAGTTGGGGGTACATAAGGGTGATCCCTCCTCACAGACATCAGAAGTCAGAGGAGGTGCTTCTCTTTAAAAAATAAGAATAGCTAATATTTATTGAGTTCTCACTATGTGTCAGGTACTGCTCTAAAAGCCTTTCTCCCTCTACCTTTCTGTTATAAACCCAGATTAACTGATTTAAACTCACAACAAACCTATAAGGAAAGTTCCATTATTATCTCCACTTTACAGAGAAAGAAACTGAAACACAGAGGGGTTAAGTAATTGAAGGAGAAAAAAGAAAATCATGTCCATATAGAAGGCTCACCAGGAGGCAAAGCAACATTACATCACTAACAGGACTCATGAGAAAATCCAACCTGGATGGAAGAGTTTTTCTTCTTCCATATTTAGGGTTCCTTCTCCGATACATCTGGGGCTGTACTACTGCCTACACACCATGCTGCTAGCGAACTGGGCTGGACTTGATGCAGTACGACAGGACGGGCAGGAGGAATGCTCCTCTCTCTCCAAAATGTCTCTCCCTTAGGCTGATGTGGAACCTGCGTGAAACCCCCGCTGACTTCTCTCCTCAGGTTAATGGGTCCAAGATCAGTCGTAAAAGACAAATGTTATTAAAACAGGGTAACAATGAGTTATAATCAGTTTTATCTCCTTGCAACAAATTAATTGGGGGTTGGGAGTTAGCCCTAGGAAGAGAGCCCTGATGAAAGGAGACAGAGGTTGGAGACAGCTTAGCAGAAGGCGGAGAGGAGTGGCTTAGTGAGAAGGGCTCAGGGACATCCAGGAAGCAGGGTGAGGGCACCACGATCTGAAAGGGTGTGAGCACAAAACAAGGAATAGTCTGTCCCTCTCTCATGCCTTCACTTTATTCGACTTGATGTTCTCAATCTTTCTCTGAGAGATTTTTTAATAAAATCCCCGTCATTTGCCAGAAGGTCATTATTGCCTGTCTATATCACAACAAAAACTCTCATGTGTCCCTGAAGCTCTTTGACTGTCCACTCCCATCAGCAGACACCCACTCTCCCTTAGCGTGTGTGAGGTCAGCAGTGAGAGAAAGGACATCGGTTCTATGATTTTTTTTATATAACATCAGTTCTATCATATCAGCTCTTCCCCCATGTATTAGTTTCCTGCAGCTGCTATAACAAATGATCAAAGGCTGAGTGGCTTTAAACAGACATTTATTCTCTCAGAGTTTTGGAGGTCAGAAATCAGATTTCAAGGGGTTGGCAGGGCTGTTCGGTCTCCAGAGACTTTAGGGGAGGATCGTTCCCTGCCTCTTCCAGCTTCTGGTGGTTGTCTGCGCTCCTTGGCTTCTCCAAATCTCTGCCTCCACCTTCACATCGCCTTCTCCCCTTTCTTCTCTTCAGTCAGTCTCATCTTCCTCTGCCCTTCTGTTATAAAGACACTTGCCATTGGATCTTGGGTCTACCAAGATAATCCAGGATAATCTCATCATCTTACTATCTTTAAATTAATTATGTCTTCAAAGACTTTTTTCCAGATAAACTGACATCCACCAGTTCCAGGGAATAGGATGTGGATATATTTTTTTAGGGGACCACCATTCAACCTACTGTACTCCATCAGAAGGACAAATGAGAAAAAATGGGGAAATATAATGAAGTTGTACAGTATTGGAACCCCAGGCTCCCTCACCTCATTGAGAAAAATGCTAAAGTGATAGGTTATATAGTGACGCCAAGAAAAGAGGACCAGGTACCTGTCCCAACAATACCAATAAGCATTCATGTGACCTCGGATGATTCTCTTATCATTTCAGGGCCTCAGTTTTCTTATCTACAAATGAGGGGTTGCTGAGATGTTCTTTGCATATTCTTCCAACCTCAGCATCTTATGATTCTACAGAAAATTTCACGCATATCTTAAATCCCAGCATGCACATGGTTAGAAACAGAGAAAATTAATATTATCCCAGCTAGTCTTTCAATCATCAAACGCTGTTCAATGCCTTCTTTTTGGCAGGAAAAAGAAGGGTATATGGATAAATAAATACATTGAAAAATAAGCCACTGAACTAATTAAAAAGGATCCCCAGAAGCTCTCTGTGATACTAAAATTAACAACCCCCTACAAAATTAAACTGTTTTATACAAAGTCCACTCTATTGGAAAAGAAGAAGGAGGAAAAGAAGAGAGAAACCTGGCATAACTAATCTGAAGCAGAGCTGGCTCACTGCCACCAGGCACACCTGAGTTTGTACCATGCTAAGGAGACACGGTGCTAGAAAAGGAAATGTATGCGTTCCGGATTCAGTTCAACCTAAGATCGATCCCAACCCCATGTAATCTTGAACAAGTCACTTAACCTTCCAGAATCCATTTGCTCAAGGGGAAAATGGGAAAACCGTAAGAATGCTTATCCCCTGGAAAATGGTGAAGACCCAGCTTGAGAAGGTATGGAAGGCATTTAGTGGCAGCTCTCTGGCATGTGCTGTTTCCTTCTGTTTGACCTGCCCCAGAGAAAGTAAACAGAGTTGACCTTAAACAAAGTTGTAAAGTGTTTAAAGTTCGCTTTTCACCTGCTTTCCTGTACTTTTCTTTTCCCCCTTGTTGGTAACCCTTCCAGGCAAGGAACTTGTCATTTATAATTGTTTACTGGTTAAACAGAAATTATTTATACCAAAATGGTGCCTGAAGCAGATTTTCAATTATTTTGTCTCTAACTGTAGAATGTATGTCAAGAATATTTGGATATGAGCAAAAAGATGACAGGAGATCAGGGAGGGAGCAGAGAAACTGATTCTGAAGTTCCTTTAAATGGAGCTGGGCCCCCTTTCCAGACTCAGAAGAGGAATCTCATTAGTCATATTTGAAATGCATGCAAGGACTGAAGGCAATGTTACATAGACTCTTCTGTTTCTTACCGAAGCCAGGCTGAAAGCTGGAATCTCACTCTAATCTGCTGCAAGAGGTGGTTTAAATAAAATAATGACAGTCCATATTCTTAAGAATGAAAAGCTATACCATCGTCACAGTCACCTTCCTCAAATTTACCTAATGTGACCACTTTCTACACCCCCCCAAGATATCAAGATGCATGATGAATGTTTTCTAAAATAATTTGTGGTTTGTTAATATCTGATGATTTTTTTTGTCATGTCCAAACCTTCCCCACAGCTGTTATCCAAGAAAATACCCCTACGGCTCCTGACTATATTTATGAAGCTCCCAAAAAGTGCATGTGCTAAAATTATACTCTTCATTAACAGAGGCAGTTGAAAGTGAACATGAACATTTGGACCCTGGAGTCAGACAGGCCTGGATTTGCATCCAAGCTTGTAACTGTTTGCTCACTCTCTGTTTCTGTGAGAACTTGGGAAAGTTACTGTCCCTCTTTAAGTCTTACTTTTCTCATCTGCAAAATGAGGACGATAATAGTATCAATGTAATAAATTGCCTAGCATAGTACACTCATTACATATGAGCTATGGTCATCATCCAAAACCTAGACATATGAAAAGAAAAGCTTATTACTCCAGTCTTGAGAATGAGAGAAGCATTACTCTGAATTAACGGAATGTTTAACTGCAAAATAATTTTAAAGAAAAAAACATAAAGAGTCCCAAACTATTGTCTAGTAAAGAGCTTGTTTGTCTCACTAAGACATATTTGTGGACCCATATAATAGACCCATGATGGGCAATTTGACTTGAGTGAAACATTAAAAAAAAAAATGAACCATACTGCCCACAGGTCAGTCCGATATAGTTATTATTATCAAAATTGCCAGATAAGTCATTTTTAGTCCTGATTATTTTCATCACAAAGAGTTTGTCATTTGATCCATTTATTCTTCCATTCCGCAAATAGCAATTGTTGGTATCAAGGAATTGTGCTTGGAACACAAAAATTAATACTTAGCCCATGGCCTCCAAAAGCTGACATATATACATATATTTATTTCTTCCCTGTTGCAAAAATTAAGCTGAAGGAGCACAGTTAGCTCAAGAAGGCAGCACTTAGGAGCCTGACTCAGGTTATTATATGTACATTTGAAAGAAAATAAAACTGCCTTCCTTCTAAAATATTCTTTAATTTACACTTTCACTAACGGTCCTGCCATCTTACCTGGTTTTTGTTTGTTTGTTTGTTTGTTTTGCTTTTCATAGATAATGTGCTTAAAAATAAATATAACGTGCTTAGCAAGCTGTAGTCAAATCACTTAGGAGTTTTCTCTTCATTATGACAGAGGACAACAAACAGATTTTCAATTTCTTTTCACATAAATAAATTTACAGAGCAAGTAGCAAAAGATACTGAATATGATCCAAACAGTTAATGTTCATGGAGAGGAATAACATTTTTCATACATTCCAAACTTATACTTTCAATACAGTTTCAATACAATACTGTAATTAGCCAGCTCTTTTGACATAGAGTATTAGGATGAATGAAAAGGGATTATTTTTAGCTTCTCAGGGCCAAAACAATCTAGTGATTGAAACTGGGACATGATACAGCATCTAAAAATATTTCAGTGTATCACTTTATACTACTAAGACCATGTCACTTCCTTTTTTTTAATTGGCCTGAGACAAGGAGGTTTTCATTAACTCTCACCAACATTATTCCAAAGAAGAGTCAGCTTCAGATTAAAGGCATATACTTTTTTAATTATGTGTAACTGTGCCAAGGTGTTCTTGGGGAGGAAAAATAAAAAGCTCCCTTATAACCCTTACTGAGAATCTTACCATGGGGACTTTATTCTTATTTAAATTAAGAGTCAATCCTTTATTAAACATATTCTAACTAGCTATTACTCTTATAGGAAAATCACCTCTATGAATGAAAAGATTAGGGATAGGAGAGGCAGGGAGAGTCTGAACTGGATTGCTTGTCTTTTTACAATTCATCCACACTTCAGAATGCTTTGTAAAAAGAGAAAACATCCTACACTGAATGAAGTATGCAGTTAAACTTTGTGCTACGCCTACATGAGCTCACAAGGGAATGACACAAGATCTTTGATAAATAAATTGTAAGTGATGTAAAAGAATTTATATCTGAGTTCTTTAAATGAGTCAAAGAGTTTTCCCCTTTTGATTATTATTTATCCTACTCTTTATTTGTTTTTGTTGTCAAAATTATAAGCAGATAGGACTTACAGGAAATGTTGACATATAATGTATATATAAATGTGCATAAATATTTATACACACATTTATATAGAGAGGCCTATTTCAAATCATAATGCTTTACATGGACCTCCTATGGAAATACTTAAACACATATCTATTTCTCTATGTATAGAATACAGAGTGTAGAAAGAGAGAATACATTCATAATTATGTGACTATTTTAAACTGTCTTTTTAGATTTAAAAGGGTTAAAAATTAAATAAAACACAGTCATAAAGTTTCATTCATTTTACTTCTAATTAGGATAGAGAGATCTGATTCAGCCTTCTTAAATGTTTTATGACAGCTTATTTGTCGTAAGATTTTTTTATATAGGTATGATTCTGGCAGGAATAAAAAACCAAACAATTCCATAGTGCAAAATAATAATGAAAATCGCAGCCACTGACTTCCAAAGCAGTGAGGTATTTTCACCTTAACAGTAATGTTTATCAACTAAACCCTAATAGTAGTAAAAAAAAAAAAAGAGAGAGAGAGAGAGAGAGAAGTGTTTATTATATTACAGTCCCCTCAATCATCAGTTATTTTGAACATCTAGAATAACATCAGCTTCACAGTTTTCAGATATCTGCTTATAACCTGAGGTAGGAAATCAGACATAATGAATCAATTAAAGTCACTTAATTTTATCCAGATCAGTAATTCATCCTATTTTAGAGATAATTGATATATTTTTTCTTATTTCACAAAGAAATGTTGATTTTTGTGCTTTCCTCCCTACTCTTCAACTTCACATAGCATGTCTTTGCCAGGCCAGTATAGACCAATGAATGAGCTATAAACAGAATGCAGAAGCAGAAGAAGGGTATAGCTCAGTGGTAGAGCACATGCTTAGTGTGCATGAGGTCTTGGGTTCAATCCCCACCACCTCCATTAAAAATAAATAAATAAATAAATAAACCTCATTGCCCACCCACACCCAAAAAGAGTCCTTGTTCAAAAATAAATAAAATTTAATATTTACAAAATAAATACATTACTTTTAAAAAGTAGATTCCTAGAGGGGGCATCAGCGACCCCTGTCTAGTCCCTGGTAACAGCAGGGAAGGAACCCCGGGGGCTCCACTGCTTCTGTCCCAGCGCCGCACCCTGAGTTTCTCTGCCCTGGGAGGCTCCTCATTCTACATGGGCTATGTGACCTCTAAACGGGGAACTCCGGGAATGTATCTTCTTTTGAGGAACTCTCACAAATCTCCTCACCTGTGTGATTCAGGTGGTAAAGCCCAGTGAGAGCAGCCTGGAAGCTGGTTCAAATCCTCGTCCCCGCCTTCCTTCAAATCCTGGGAGCCTTCTGAGGTCAGAACTAGCTCAACGACTGAACTACAGCTTCTCAGTGAAATAATCTTTGGAAGGACCTGGAAATAATGCACTTTCCTACTTTTTTCAAACCTCCAAAAGATATGTTTAAAGGAAAAAACTAAGGTAGCACATTTAAACTAAATCATGGTATTCCTTACAATACAAGTTATGTGTAACAAAATCGTCAAGGAAGTGAGAAGTTAACTTCACCTGAATTTAGAAATAAACTTTCAACTTTAAAATGTAATACTATTTAAATTTAATGTGGGAAACAAAAGACTCAAAAAGAATCTCTTAAAGTCAACCTGCAAACTGTTCTACTCTCAAAAATTCTTGTCTTCCCCCAACCCTGTACCCTACCACATCTGTTTAACCATCTCTCTTTTCTTTCATTTTCATGTGATCATTTGCGTATAATTAAAGTATTTAGTCTTTCCTTTTAAACTCAGCTTATGCCCTTTAAAGATCTAGAAACACATCTCCATCATCCAAAACTCAGAGTAAAAAACTACCACAAAATGAATCTACCAAATTAATCGAACCATCTTGTTGACCCACAATCCTAGATTCTGCCTCTGCTTTTTTCTCATTTTAGTTGAGTTGAGTCATTCCTTTTCCTTTCTTGATTCTTTTTTCTCTCTATTCCACATATTCTTGTGGATTTGGAAAGGGTAGAGGATGAGGAGAGGGTATATGTTTTGTGTCATAATTTTAAAATATAGGGGAATATAGGAAAGACATGAGTTTCCTTTCTAAAATTAGGAAAGCAACAAATAAAGGT